TACACACACATACACAAACATTCAGATCCTATTACTCATTTGTTGTATGACCTTTGAACATTCCTAGGTATAGTAACATTTTATCTAAAAAAAAATGAAATAAATTAAACATATTGTGATTGGCCTCTGGGACCTGACTTTTGGTTCTATCTGTGTAGCATATATACAGGTAGTCCTCACTTAATGACCACTATTGGGGCCAGCAATTCCATCACTAACTGATGTGGTCATTAAACAAAACGTGACCATGACGGACTTATGACCTCATGCTGTGGTCATTAAGCAAATCACCACAGGTTGTTAAGTGAGACATCACATGACTGTGACTTGCAATTTTACTGCCGGCTTCTCCATTGAGTCTGCTTGTCAGAAGCCAGCTGTGAAGCACACAAATGTCAATCATATGACCACAGGATGCTGTGACAATTGTAAATGCCTGCTGGTTGCAAAGCACCTTAATGTCGATCATGTGACTGTGGGGATACTGCAACGGTCGTAAATGGAAGGATTGTTCATAAAGTTACTGTTTCAGCGCAGTCGTAACTTCAAACGGTCGCTAAACAGGGCAGTCATTAAGCAAGGTGTACCTGTACACACACACACACACACACACACATATGCAACTCTGAAAATTTCAGCCTACATTCTGGGAGACAAGCCTTCTGGAAACTGCAAATTGGAAGCTAGGGGTTCCATGGATTGCCTCCCTTTGTTACACTGTTATCCTTCCATCTCCATATTGAATGAGTTACATACCTTAACCTCCATTTTAAAATTTCATTTATCTTAAGAATATGCATGATGACCAGGAGGCCACAGACTAGAATATGTAGCAACTAAATGATTCAAAACTTGGAAAGGAGTACACCAAAGTTGTATACCTGTCAATTTATTTTATGATATGCAGAATTTATCATGACATATGTTGGACTAAAATAAGCTGAAATTAAAATTACTGTGAGAAACAAGAACCTCAGATATGCTGATGATACCACTTTGATGGCTATAAGGGAGGAAGACTTAAGGATACTCTTGTTGAAAATGAAAGAAGAGAGTGCTAAAGCCCAGTATTAGTGCCCCCTCAGATTATGTTGATAGGCATTGTCAACCCAATGCAAATAGGTGATGAACTAACAGACTTCATCTTCATAACCTCAAAACATCACAGAGATGATGTAATGAAATAAATAGATGTTTTCTACTTGGAATAAAGTCTATGACATAGTTAGACAAACTCTCAAAATGCTGAGACAGCATAAGGAATACAAAGATTCATATTGTCAAGGCTATAGTTTTTCTAGTTGCAACAAACGTATCTCAAAATTGGGCCATCAGAAAGGCTGAATAAAGAAATATGGATTACTCTTAATTATGATGTTGGGGAAAATTGTTAAGAATACTTTAGACTGCAAGAAGAACAAATAATCCAATACTACATAAAGTAAAACTCAACTGAGCACTGGACATACTTAGAATGAACCTAAAGCTTAAATATTTTGGATCTATAATGCAAAAGCAAGAATCATCAGAGAAGACCCAGGTGCCTGGAAAAGTCAAAAGCAATTGAAAAAGAGGCCAAGAGAAGACACTATGGCTAAATACCATCACTGATGGCACAACAAGAACTTGTGTTCTGGTTAACAGAGAATCCTTGTGAACTGATGTCCACAAGGTCATGAAGAGTCAGAAGCTACTAACAACAAAAAGATGGGTATCCCCCCCCACTTTTTTCCCCACTGTTGTATTACTATTTTTCTTTTCTGCTCCCCCCACACTTTTGTTTCTTCTGCTAAAATAAACTTGAGTAACAGCAAGCTTTCTTTTATCTCACAGTCTTTCACCTCAAGAGTAAAGATATTATATTCATTCCAGCTAATTTTTCTTCTTCTCAGTGGTGTGAGTAATAACCGGAAGCTTTTTACAACAAATTTGGATAATGGTGACTCCGTAAATAAATTCCTGCTTGATTATTTAGCACCAACTTTTTGGTTCAAGTAAAAAATCTGAACAAGGGACTTTCTTTCTTTTTCTGTTTGTTTGCTTTTAATTGAAACCCACATTTGAGAGCTGGAGAAAGTGATGCTAAAGATGTCAGAGGTTAGATCTTTGCACTTTTATTTCCATTTGCACCATGACTTCGACAAACAAGTACTTTACCTCCCAGCTCTAACCTCTGGCAGGCTCAAGGTTAATAAGGTACTTGTAAAAAAAAGTCCCAAACCTTTAAATTAGATGATGTGGAGTACAAATTAATTTAGTCATCTGTTTGACTGAGAATGGTGCCATATAGTAATACAATGCAGAAAAAAGAAACATTTATGCTAGTCTAAGAGCTCTCTAAAGAATCCCCTGCTGGATGTCTACGAGGTTGTTTTATGCATAAAAAGAAAAAGTAAGCTCTCTGAGAATGTGATTTTGTGTTACAATGTGGCCCGCTTGCAGCACAGAAGCCTGCAAGCTATCAACTCTCCCAGTGGGAAGCAAGGGTTTGAGTGGTACAGAGAGCAGCTGCTACATAGGGGAAATTTACAAGGGAAGGGAGCAGTTTAAGTGTAACTCACTGAAATCAAGGGACAGCAGCCTCAGGTCAGAGGATAAATTTTAAAAGGAGGCCTCCCACGAGAGTACAGGGGAGGGGGTGTGATTAGTTCAAGAAAGAAAAATGCTTTCCTGATTTATTTTAAAAATTTATTTGATGGCTCTGTCCTGACAAAAACACAAGCAAGCACCTGCCACTTCTATTATACCAAACAGTGACAATCTACTGTAAGAGGAGGATGTTTGTTATCTTTTAGGAAGAAGATTTTTAACTTAATAGGTTCTATGCTGGCAGTATGTTCAAAGCTACAGATTAGCTAAAGAGCTGTTCACTGCAATCTAAGTTTACTCCCCTGGTCCCAGCAGGTTTGAAATTGCCCTTGGCTATGTTCCTTTTCCCCCCACCTTGCTTTTTCAAAACCAATTTGAATAGGAAATGAAATGTGGGTCCAGAGAGACAATGGTTTACTGTAAAGATTTTGCTGCAATGCATGGCATTAAAAATCTGTAAAGATCCATGCAACCAGGCTATTCTGTGATGAAAAGCTATAAAGAACACCCAGGTGGGCAACTCTGTACTAGAGGCTAATTGAAGCAAGCAATAATATTCCTCAATAAAATTCATGAGTATGCTCTTCAGAGAGAGAAAATCTACTTCGAAGCTTCTGAATTCTACTTAAGAGTAGAACAAAGAAATAAAACCCTTGATAATTGTTCTAATAGCTGAAATTATTGCTTGATATATGGAAGGCAAATCAGAAAGATAAAACACATAGTTAAAGAACTTATGCAAAAAAAACATATTTCTAGAATTAATTTCATAATTTATTTTTTAACCCTGAAACGTCATTCTCTTGTTGGTATTTTCTCCATGTGAACAATGAGATCAATCTGCTAATGAAACCATATTCACACATATTCTTAAAGAGCACAGAAATTAAATAATGCTTATGTTACATCAATCTGCTAATGAAACCATATTCACACATATTCTTAAAGAGCACAGAAATTAAATAATGCTTATGTTACATCAATCTGCTAATGAAACCATATTCACACATATTCTTAAAGAGCACAGAAATTAAATAATGCTTATGTTACACTTTTTATCAAATTCTGGGCAGACAAAATTGTGGGGAGCTCTTAAAGAGACCTTAGAATTTATATAATGGCTCACTTACACAATTGTACTTAAAGGAAACCTGGCCATAAATGCTGACAAAGCATATATTCTTCCTGAAAAATGTGCACTCCTGGTGACAGGGTTAATGAGGTTTGAGCAGCCTCTCACTCTGACCTGTCTCTCCACATATTCCAGCTTTAATGCACTTGCGTGATTTCACCCTGCCCCCGGAGAAAAGGATGGGAAGGAAAGTGGCCTCCACCTCCAGTTATTTTCTACATGGTTGAATTCCCTGGTGCCAGGTTCAGTGCCTTACTACGGAATGGAATGCATTAAATGTTCAATGTGCAAATCCCAAGAGGGATGGAACAGTTCATTTGCCAAAGGTTAGGGGAAAATCACAGCCATACTCCTCTTCTAGATTTCTTTCGAAGAACATTTCAAGGCATAAAATAATGAATACACAGTGTTTCTTTTCCCCTTCCTTGTACTCTTCTGGGGTGGTAGTGAACTACAGAACTGCCAAAAGCTTTTAGGTCTTGCATTGTTTTCCAAAATGGATCCAAAGTTTTTCCTCTTTCCTCATTATTCTTAATGTAACTGTTTCTACTGGAAATTGCATAGCAATATAACTTGCTCAAACATGTTTTGCTGCAGAATGTCCATTTCTTCAACTACTACTGCACCGGTGCTCACTCCTTCCATATATTGTTAATTTTCTTATTATCAATTCAAAGTCTCTACGTTCAATTTTGGGAACTTTTCCTGATGGAAGAAGGAACTACTCAATGTATGTTCTTGCTAAGGAGCAAAACTTAAGATTGGGCAACTTAAGGAAAGGGATTTTATTACTAAATATTCCTACATAAAACAAAATATTAAACAACAAAAAATCCTTCCACAAAGAAAACTAGAAGATAGAGAGAAGAGTTCTAGCCTAGCCTTCTCCTTGATGTCTTAGTTTTCTACATAATTCAGCCTCTAAATTAATTTGAAGTGGCACACAAAATCACCACCTTGGTGAGAAAATAAACTTGGACTTGCAGACCCACCTTCTTAGGAAAAATATTAAACCACAGAAAAATATTTAAACTATCCTATCCCAAGGTCAGTCAAAAACATATGCTAAAAACAGCCATGTGTCCTTAATCAGTGATGAGCATTGTTATTTACCATTTTAGTGTGAATCCTTTAAAATCTGTAATTTGTTTTTGAAACTTGATGGATCTGCCAGAAGGTTTCATCAATATATATAAGGAAAATGACAGGTCTATGTGTTGTTGAAATTTTTAAAAAGTTCAAATATTCACTCTTGCTATAGTAGTGCTTGCCCTGAAACCTTACCTTTCTGGAGATTGTAGAAACATTCAAACCAAATCTTTGAGCCCTTTCCTTTAATTTGTCTATGTTTACCTAGAAAAGCAGTAGAAAACAGTTTAATATAATCAGATATATTCATATAAATTTAAAGGTTTAAAAATTATAAATGCTGAAATTGTGCCAGTATGGATGAATTTGTTGAACCGTAATAAAAAATTACTTTCTGTATTGAGACTGCAATAATCTTTGAACAAATTATGGAATTAAAAGAGAATGAAAATGGCATTCACAGGACCAGTAGCTTACTGCAAATTACTTCTAAGAAAACTTTCAGGTATTATTTTAGCAGATCAATTGGTACTAATTCTATTTCTGTTTTTACTAATGCATGGATGAGAAAAGTGGAAACCACATTTACTATTTTCAATTCAGTACTCCGCCTAGCACTCTTTGTGCATTTATCAATCAAGCTCCTTAAGGTAACCAACACAGAAGTAACTAAACTATCAAGAAGAGAAAAATATTTTCAACATACTCCGGCATTATAAGTTTTGATTAGATATTAATTATATATGGAAGTAAGAAGCTTTCATCCTAAATTTAAGATGAACTTCTCAATTTGTTTTTTAAAGCATCCTGGGGAACAAATCTTTGCTACTAAACTAGATCATCCTCTTCTGTTGGCATAATACTGATGGAAAAACAGTACATTCTTGCTTGGATTGACATCTTTGAAGTGGGTGCAAGGTTTAGGGATGTGAGCAGCAACATACGCTTGTACTTTTCTTGTCAAATTGCCAAGATGGGGGGGAAAGGAGACAAAAGTTTCATATTACCTACTGTTGTAATCCTACAGATACCTTTGGAATGACAGCTGCCACACTAAGACAGGTGGAGTCATTCTGCTTATTTTTTAAAGGATCACTAAAGCAATTGTCTTCTTTCAGTATAAGAATCCCATGTTTGCTTTAGTTCAAATATGGCCAAGAAGTGTGGCATAATTGCTAAAGGTATTATGCTAGGACTGGGGAGACCTAGTTTCAAGTCCATTCTCACCTTACTGGTTAACTTTGGACCAGTCATTATCTCTTAGCCATACTATTTCAACAGTTGTTGCAGGGAAAAATTGGAAGAGGACTTACTCTACGCTTTGCCTTGAACTCCTGGAGGAAAGGCAGGGTACAAATTAAATGAACCATAGAATAATAATGGACTGTAGATATTACTGAATACTTTTCTGCTGTATTGATAACAGTCATGTATATGATGCTTTATAAAGTAACTTTAGCAAAACATTATACAGGAGGAGCCATGTTACTTTGCTGAAAGTTTCTACCCAAGGAACATGCATTCTATCATTTGACATTAAAGGAGCAAGATTTAAGAGATGAATATGCACAAACCTTAATTTATTTTGACTGAAAAGGAACACTAAGAGACTAAGCCAAACCCTTTGTAGAACTGATCTTTGAAGGAAGGGAAACAGCTAAAACTATGAAGTAAGCAGGAATGTGTAGAGAAAATACAAAAATAAGACTTTTGGGTGGTGAGAAAGGGAATGTTAGAAAGCTGAATGATACAGCAAAATACATCTTGCAGGTAAGAGAAGACCATACAAGGACTACAAGGTCAACAGTTTTAGAGGATATTGAGAAGACAATGATTTGAAACAGGTGAATACTAAGAGAAAATAATTATTTTATTTATTTTAGAAATATAAACAAAATCAGAAGGTTGCAGAGGCACCTAAAATAGAAAATGGTGTTTCAGCTGAAGACAATATTATACCGAGATTGAGTCCAACATATTTGATTATTAAATTGGGTAAAGTAAGATTATAGTCTATATCAGACTGCTTTAATGAATTATTACTGAAAACTATGCCAACTGTAAAAGTAAACAAAACAGCTACTTACTGTAGTCTTACTTTCTGTGTTCAGACCTGAAACAAAGAAACATTTTAAGTTATTGGATCCAAAATATCTCCTTCCATTTACTTAAGTAAATCAGAATCTACCACTTTTATTTAATAACATTGATATACTGAATGTTCAACTCTGGTTTGGCTAGGACTCAATATTAATACTTCAATCCCCTTACACCTTAAAGGTTTCTTTTCCTTTTCCCTGCTGGCCAGCCTAGGAAGGGAGACCACCCCTCAGAAGGACTTCATATTATCAGATTCATTGCATATACAAATATGATCTGTCTTTCTCTGTGAACTAGCTACAGCAATCCCCATAAAATTAACATTACTAAATGTCTACTTTCCTCCAAAAAGTCATATTGCTCAATCTAATAGTGGCTAGGATTGTTTTGAAACCTGGCTCACTGATTCAATCTCCCAATTTCCTGACTCAATAATTACTGGCTGGTTACTTTAATGCCAGGATGGGATCTAGTGGCAAGGCTCTTCTAAAGCAATATAATGCCACCTATTCTTCCCTAATTAGGGAGAGTCTATAAAAGTCCAAAGACCCTGCCATTAGCATGGAGGTGTGTAGCGACCATGTTTAGTTTATACTCTTTGCTATCAGCTCACCATACTTCTGCAATAACTTAGCTTATCACAGGCAAGCCAAAACTAATGCTAATGTTGAGTGCTTCAATTAAAAACTCAAATTAAAAATTTATGGTATAAAATTTAAAATTATCAGATGGTGCTCACAAACATGCAGCCTCACACCTCACCACCAACTCCCTGGAAGTGCTCAAAAGTATATTCAGCCTAATCTAACCTCATTCTCATATTAAACCACTACAAGATTGAACGATAAGGAATGTGTTTTAGCTAAAGTCCAGGTTGTATAAGCACAACAATTTGGCTTGAACAGCTAGTGATTTCAAAACCTACGAATTTTTTTATTCACAAAAGAAGAAATATAAGAGGCTATTAAAGGAGAAAAAAGTGCAGGTTTGCACTTAAGTCTTGGCCCTGCATCCATCAGGCTGTGATAAGCAAAGATCATTGTCTGTTCTGGCATCTAGTTTCTAAATTTGCAGCTACTGTAACACAAATTAAACGAAACCCTGATAACAATAATAATTTCTCTTGACACTTGGGCCAGGCATTTCTGAGGTCTGTTTACATCTTCTCAAGACAGTATCCCTTATATTCAGCTATTAGATGACCCCCTTCCAGAGTGGCTGTCAGTATCTCCTTCTGAGATTCAAGACTAATGTCCAACAAAAAAGTAATACAACTCTTGGCTAAGATTTAATTTTATCTGAATTTTTAAAGCTAAATCCTACCTGGTCAGCTTTGGTGTTAGCCTCTCTTTTCACTACCACAAACAATTCTATATATATACTAAAATAATGGTTTATATATAAAAAAGGAGATAGGTATGACTTCACCAATTACTGCTTAATTAGTCTTATTTCTAATAAACTATATGCCAGATTTGTATGTTATAAGCTTTTGGACCAGATGCATTCTGAGAATATCTTAGTGCCTGAGCAGGCCAGTCTCAGATCCAGATATTCAAGAATGAACCAGTGTATAATTCTGCACCATTTAGCAGAGAAATATTATAATTTCCTAAGTGGAGCCCTCTACCTTGCCTTCATAGATCTAAAGGTGGCATTTGATTCTATGCCCCCCCAAAAAACTGCAGAGAAAATTAGGAGCCTCAACAATTGATCACCATCTCCATAAATTGATTATACAGTTACACCAAGACACTATCATATAGCTCAAAGGTAATAGCAATGGGGACCTAATGAAGCCTATTTCCACCTGTAAAGGGGTCAAACAAGGATGCATTCTTGTCTCCTTACTGTTCAACCTTTATATTAATGATACTGTTTTTTGCCAACCCAGACTTTCATTCTCCCTCTCTTGCTAATCAACCTATATCTATTATTTTATATGTTGACAATGCACCCATTTTCTCTATATCAAAAGACTATGGAGGTGTCTTAGAGCATTATCACCCTATTGCAATAGAGAACACTTCTAAATAAACCATTCAAAAACAAAAGCCCTGTTGTTTTCAAGAAAATGCTTTAATTCTTCAGCTAGATGGTCAATAAATGGAAGAACTATTTACAGGTCAAATTCTTCTACTATTTTGGTATCTACTTCCAATTCTGTACCTGCTGAGGCAACCAAGTAACAGGAATAGCTATAATGGTGGCCATATAAATCTAAATAAATAAATAAAGACCTAAAGAGCATCTCTAGAAATGACAAAATTTGCAAACCAGCACGGGAATAATTTTGTCCTAGCTGTCATTAAGCTATTTTTGGGTATGCTGCTCTATGGTACCCAGGAGTATGTGTCTATAAGTTCTCAATCTCTGACTCCATACAAGCTCAGTTGCTAAAAACAACAGCACACATCCTTCATTTGACTTCTTATACTATAACACAATTACAACTGGGCTTCATCTCTTTCAGGGACTTGCAAGACTATGCCGCTTAAGGTCCTGGGCAAAGAAAACCCTTTGGGAGCCCTCCTTGGCTTACTATCTTACCCTGTATGATAGATTTGTATCCACTCTGTGAAGGCAAATTGATCAAGACCTGATATGTGGTGGTCTGTCAGTACCAGCTTTACTTACATTAGGCCTCGATAAAACTTCAGCAGAACTCAGGCAGAAGGTGACTTACATATTCAGTCAGGTAGGACCAGAATCTCCCATCTCAGGTAGTCCTTAACCTACGATCATTCCTCGGGGTTCCACTGTCCCAGCACCCCCATGGTCACGTGATCGCAATGTGGGCACTTTGTAACTGGTTTGCACTTATGACCAGTTGTAGCACCCCGCAATCACGCAATTGCCATTTGCAACTTTCCCTGCTGGCTTCCCCATGCACCCTCCCCAACCTGCACCCCCTCACACCCTCCCCATCCCTCCCTTGCATTCTCATGGACCCTCCTCCACACACCCCTCACTCCCTTCCCCATCCAGCAGCAGCCACTTACCTGCCTGCCAGCTGGGGACTTGCAACTTCCTGCTGGCTTCCCCACTGACTTTGGTTGTAGGAAGCCAGCAGGAAGCTACCTCGCCTAACGACCGTGGGATTCAGTTAACAACGGCAACCAGGACTGCAGGGATTGCCATCACTAAGCAGTGTGGCCATGCTTTACAATCATACTGCTTAGCAATGGAAATTCTGGTCCCAATTGCCATCGTAAGTTGAGGACTACTTGTATAGTAAAATTGCTCCGTCCTCTTGTACTCTCCCTAGCTATTTTTTTAAGATCATGTGTGCTCCATATAGGAGGCCTTTTTCGAAAGCTTGAATCAATGCACCATCCATCAGGGCAACAACTGGAAGATATTTCAACCTTCCATATGAAAATTATATGTGTGTATGTTCAAATACGGTTGAACCTGTATCTCCTGTTCTATTAAAATGTTTATACACAATGGCAACTAAAACTTATAACCCCAATTAATCCAATATTTAATTTCCATCATAATGAGATCACTGCTCTCCTTTTAATGACCAGTTTCTAAATGTATCAAGAGAGATGGCAAAATTTTTATCTGTAGCTGTGGTTTATAGGATACCTTCCTCATAGCTTTATTTTTGGCTTCTATATAATTTATAAGAATTCATTACTGTCCAGGATGAACCCAGAGCATCCAGGAGTATATCAGTAAGACAACACCCAAAGATGAGCTGCTGAGTGAATGCCTGAGGCAGCAGCAGACATGGAAGGAGGTTCAAGAAGAGGAAATGCCATGGCAAGGCAAAACCCTGCATGGGATGTACCCCTGACAGATACCTGAGGTGGCTGACATTGGGAAATCCTACCAGTGGCTGGAAAGGATTGGACTAAAAGACAGCATTGAGACACTGATCATAGCAGCACAAGAGCAGGCACTAAGCACCAGATCCATAGAAACAGAGGTCTACCACACTAGACAGGAGCCAAAGTGCAGACTGTGCTGCAGAGAGACCTCAGAGACAGTCCAACAATGGTGGCAGGCTGTAAGATGCAGGCAGGAACAGCATACACTGAACAGTACAACCAAGTAGCTGGCATTGTGTACAGGAACATCTGCAC